ATATATATATATATATATATATGTATACTTTGAATTTTTGTGTACTTCCTCAGGCAGTAAATAGGAACATGCCTGAACATCTTATGTCCACTAATTACTGTTAAAAATATGCTATATATTACATGTACACACAATTAGATACACATTTTGAAAGTATTGATGATAAACTGGACTGACATATAGCATATATACACATAAAAGAAGTGATACTTGTGTTAGTAGTACATTAATACTGTTTAATTCTTAACGCTGGAGTGGACATAATGAGCCTCAGATTTTATACTTCACTAATAAGTTAGATATAACTGTAACCATTTGGTTTGTACATAAGAACTACATGATATGACTCATGGTTATCCTATATTTTCTTATGGTTTTCTTCAGTCTCTCCAGACAAATGCTAGGATTGAATCTTGAAATAGACCATGATTTCTTCCTGCAGAGTTACTTTGTTCACTGTGCATAACCATCTTTTTGTCATCTGATGCTAACTAATTACTGCAGATGACGCAGTTTACTTAGCTAACCTATGACCCAGCCAGTCACTTTACATAAACAATGCAAAGTATGACGATAGCTGAGATGTTGGTCCATATCTACCAGACTACACAGTGTAACATCCCACACTCATTGCCACAACCACATCAAATCTTGCAATGTACAGTCATTTAAATTTTACAAAAATTATCCACTGCAATACTGGAATTCAATTACCTGGTACAGAAATTGCTGTGCATCAGAATTTTTTTTATATTTATTTATTTATTTATTTATGGCTAAGTAGGATCTCATATATTATTTGTATGAAGCAAAGAAAGCTTTGAAAGGTGTTTTATAACTGATAATGACAACTGTGCGGGCTATTGCAATTTTTTTCTTCACCACCATAACCAGACTGTCTCTGGGGTGACATCAATTTCCTTGCCAATGCATATCAAAGGCTCCTTAGTTGCAAATGTCTAGAACATGAAATTGACCATTTATATATCAAGATTACCTCTTTTTATGCCGAGAAACTTTGGAATTAGTACATTTTTAGGGAGTAACATGTTCCTAAACAATTATAACATGGAGACGGGATAAAACATTACACATATGTTACTTATTTTCTTGTTGTTCTTCTCCAGCTTGTCTTGCTTTTGTGGCAGAAAAGACACTAAATTTTGTGAACATCATCTAAGACATATTTATGTAGTGTGTTGTCCAGATTCACATGATTGTGTTTTCAAGATATGAAAGAGTAAAAAATGTGTGGGATTTTACCTTAACATTAAATTTGTATCTCATACTTTTGTATTAATTAATACACTTCATTGGTTGGTTTGTAACTGATGTATCAAGCTTGTACCTTCACATTCCCTCTACATCTCCATGACTTGGTTCATGGGTACAGGGATGACTTTTGTCTATTGGTAATAAGTGTGAAGTTCATATAATAAATTAATTTAATTTTATTATTCATCTAGATGTCGTTAAGTATCACATAGTCAATTTGTTTCTTTTACCAGCATCCGGTTTAACTTTGGAAGTATTGTCAGGGGTGGATGTGACTCCAACAGATGTGCGAGAACATGGCATACGCTGTGCATGTGGAATTGAAGTGGACAGTGGTCTTATGGTGCACTGCAAATTTTGTAACCACTGGCAACATGGGGTAAGTGTAAAATGTTTTTCTAGATGAAAAAATGAAAATGGTCAGGACACACAATTACCGTAGTGAAATACTAAGTATTGTTAAACATCGTGATCAGGACACACATTTACCGCAGTGAAATACTAAGTATTGTTAAACATCCACAATTTGTCATAAACTTATGCTTAATTAAATTCATAATATTTTTAAAGCTGCTATTAAGTAGCTGTGTTGAAGATGCAATGTTATAAAACCAGTGAATGCATCTTGTTGACAGTCTGACTTTTCACATTGAAAAACACACTTTTATATAAAATCAGATGCCTTTAATGTTCATGGTAAATCATGACAAAAATAACTGATTGAGGGAAGAATTTAAGATATTTATATTTTATACAGTATATGGGCTTTTATAACTTCATATGATGTTATACTTTTCTGTTTCCCGATTGCACAAAAATATGTAGTTCAAAGCATCAACTGATTCTTGAAGATGCTTATCAAAGCACATTAAGAAGAAAATGATTTTTAGATGAAGAATAACCCAAAATGAATTAAACATATATGCTGTATTAATTACTTTTGATTCTATAGTTGCATATTTTGTGTGTTAATTGACAGGCATGTTATGGGTTGCATAAAGAGAGCGACATATCAGCCGATCATGTCTGTGAAGTTTGTCATGAGCCTGAGAAGAATCAACAGTGCACGGACTTGAAGCTTCTAGCACTGTCCGTTCCACAGAGAAAGGTATGATACCAAGCTTGGCTAGCAATGCAGACTTGTCTTATATTTTATACCAAAATGAATTTATCCTATTTAGAACAAGAATAAAGTGCATGAAGTGTTACTTATTTGTAAACATGCCAAGGTTACACATCACAGAATTAAATTATATAGCATTTCAATCATCTGCCTTGATTCTTCCAAACAAGAAATTGCATGATCATACAAATAATTTCACATAATAATTTTGATGAACTAAGAGCAGATACTTGCAGAAAAGTTCACAGCATGTGTCTGAGAGCTGGTTATTCTCATTTAAGTTAGTAACTGTCCCTGACAGAATATTATATTACTCATTGCCTGAAGACTCTGTGTTATTAAGATAATGGATTGGGACATTGATGCACAGATTAATAAAAAGCACAAATGGTACACAATTCCCTTTTTTGACATCTTTCCTCTGAAGAAATAAAATTATTTGTATGTTAATTTTAATGTTTGATTTGAAGGGCCTGTGAAGCTACAGGAGATATGTTTGACTCAACATGGGGAGTGATATATGTTACAGGAAGTGTGTTTGTACCGTCGCACCTTGGCATGTATACGATTGTGTCGTGTCACCCCTTCCTTCATATCTGAAGAACTGGATGTTTCAGAAGACATTGCCCAGCTTCTCTTTGAACATCTTGAAATGGACGGTATTCTCCGATCCACTCGAACCAAAGGGTAAGTGTACCTTGATGTACTATATCTACCAAACATCAATAAAAAATATTTGATAACATACTAATTTTTTAATATGTATTTTACTAATAATCATGGTATGTAAAGTAGAATGTGGGTAATAACATGAACTATACAGACATCAAAAATGACAATTCTTGAGTAAATAATAAATACATTTAGTTTAAAAAATGAAATATAATAATAATAAGAAAAATGGATACAACATTCATAAAGAATGTATGGCTTATATGCCTAACACCCAAACACAACTGACAGTTTCATACCATTGGAAATTTAAGTTTTGGAAGACTGCTGAACGGGTGATCAGATCAAATATAGGACTAAGCTGGTATGGACCAGTATGGTCCAGAACATGAAGTTCATGATTGTGATAATGGTGGTTATCAATTCTGTATCATATTTTGGAAATTGAAGTTTTCCACTTTAAATCTCATTCTTGAGATGATGGAGTTTCAGTACATTATCTGTATGAAATATTAGATTTAACAGTAATTGAATTCTTATTTGTGAAGCATTCAGTTTGAGTTTCAGCCAGGATACCAGCTATCATAACTTTTTTTATCTTCAGTACCTTCAGGCAAAGTACATCTAAACAGACCACAAACACTATTACCTATGCCCCCCCTCACTGTTCCATTACATATAAATCTCATCTTGCGATTCTAAACTAAACGTTTAATGAAGATGGTTGTCTTCTGGGTTGTTGCTCCATGAAAACCTCAAATCCTACATAAACGTTTAATTCTCTGTAACAGTACTTTGCTGCTTACAGCCTATTTTAGAAATTATCTTGACATTTATTTTATTTTTTATTGCATTATTTCCTGTTGACAAAACTAAACTTGAGTAAAACATTATTTAACAGTGCTGAATTAATTGCAGAGAATGTTCACAGTTATGTGAGAATAGGGACAATAATGAATGTAAACTCAAATCAGAAATAGAAGGACATGCGTGTGTGGTCTGTTTTACGTGCTACATCGATATTTACCGGGAATAACTGAGGAAATACATCAAGAACTTCAGTCATGATGGGCAGTTTACCTTGTTAATATTTCAAATTGTAAGTTTTTATTACTTTAATTTATTTTAAGGGTTAAAATAAACTTTTACTTCTTTTATAAAGGAGTTCAATGGGTACAGACGTTACTGTTGGGAATTACTGTTGACAGGACGCCTCGCTACATAAATCAGAAGGTTCTGAAAAACGAACTTCTGCCTCGGTATTTTGGACCCACTGCAGACTTGAGGTCCCACAAATACAACTTTAAGTTTCATGATACTATGGATAATAATGCAAAGGTAAGAGAACACTCAACAGATCTGCCAACTTATAACCTGTCAAACTGAGGTATTATTTGTGCTGTATCGAATGATTTATTTCTATCGTTTATCATTATATATGTGATGAAAACCTACAATTATGATCACAATTACTTGTACAGCCTCTGCCCATTTAATGAGGTAAAGGAATTCATTTATGATGTGGTAGGACTTATCAGGCAGTCCCATTACTTCTAAACGTAAACTGATATTGAGAATGATGGCCAACAATGGGAAATTACCGCTGAACATGGGCACTGAGCCATGGCAGATAACTGTAGGTGGTGGTGGTCTTCTAGGTTGTGTTGTGCAGTCTTTTGGCTATATACAATGTTTCACAGGAACATATTGCCTGTGCAGTCTTTTAGCTGTATACAATGTTTCACAGGAACATATTGCTTCCATATTCAGAGATTAAATGAGAAGTGAAGCCTTCCCCTGCATCCTACCTTCCTTTCTGGACATAGAAGAGTTGCGTTTTTACTTTGTTCTCTTTTTGTACCTTCTGACTCGGCCTTCATATCTGACACATTGAAAACGACTCTTTCCTCTTGGTCCAGACATAGCTTCAACTCCCCCTACTAATCCCAAGTATCTATTGGCCAATCTTCCTGGCTTGATTTTCCTCCTAATCCTGAATATACCATCCACTGCTTAACACTCCTCACTTCAGCTCTAAATATGAAAATTCTACATTCTTCCAAAACATTGGTATACAGCCAAAGGACTATATGATGCAACAGCGTAGAAGACAACAACACTGCCATGAAAGCCTCAAATCCTACACACAATATGACTATTTTCCTTTCCTGTAAACATGAGGTTTTGGAGAATAGTATGTCCCAGAATTGTAATACTGTTATATTCTTCATTCATCAATTCCAGCTCATATATTTTCAGGCCAGGAGAGAGTTTTATCTGAACTTAATGCTATCTGGGACATGAAAGCTCCCTCCGGTCCTCTTACAGACTATAACATGTCATTGCATAACCTTGTGAATTATACTTTGCTTCTACATGAAGTGGAAGAAATGTTAAAGATCAGTGTAAATTAATTAAAGGTTGAGTTTGTTCTCAGGTTTTCAGAGAAACAAAATTATATGTTAAAGGCTGATAAAACGGCTGAAATCCATAAATTTACCCACAATACAGCCTTGGCATGTCAATATTTTTCTATCCATAAAAAAGTGTTAACTGAAATTGACATTAGAATTGCATATTTTAGGAATGCAGATCAGACATAGTTTTGATAAGTTATCTAAAACTTTATTTTATATGGTAAATTGTGCAGGAGTTACCTTTTCGTGACCACTGGGAATTACTAGTTACACTAATTTTTTTAAGAAAATGCTCACTGGATATCATTGTTCCCACCGTCAGATTTTGAACTGTCTAGTCTGAAACTTAAGAATCTACTGCATCATAACTGGTCATTATATCCGTCATGTTTTCTCAGAGTTTGGGAATAGCTAGTCCAGTTTCATTTAAGCTCTCCTCATTCAGTCATTTTGGACTTACTTCAGAAATTCTGGGAAACTTTATAAAATTTCACATTTTCAGATTGACTGGAAGTGATAGAAAATGACAGTTTGTTGGTCGTGTGATTTAGTGGATGGTTACAAACATATGAAGAGTTGGTAGATTTATTAGTTTATCATGTTGAAGGAGTACTTATTTGTGCTTCGCATACAAGGATAAATTATGACTCTTTTTAATGCAATTGTGTGCATAGTTTATTGCTTCCACTGAATAAATATAAATAAAATAATGTGTAATGTACTTGTAACTTTCAGGATTTAAAGGAAATGACTCTATCACCAAAAGCTTCAGATCGCCACAGACAGAAGAGAGCGCGTGTTAACAAGGTACATTTGAACATCCTTAATTTAATATACCTACCGTGTCATATATAATCACATACATTTTTTACATTTACCGATTCATTAAGAGAGGAATTGGCATGACTTAAAATGGAATGCACTAGCATTATTATGATACTTTAGTAGTATATTATCCATTGTATATTATTTAAAAATGGTTCAGAGACTCTTGCTCTCTCTCTCTGTCTTCATTCAAGATGCACCTATTGTACAGACAGTATTACTCATTAACACATTTAATACAGTTTTTCATTTGCAGTCCTTTCATTATTTGTCTTGGTATATCTGCAGAGCTGTTGTATTCTTTCATACCTCATCATACTTAATAAGTATAGCGTAAAGAATAAAATGTCTGAATGTGAGGTCAGAAATGTCTGTTATGTACATACACGATGGCAGCATTTTTCATGCTACTGTTTTCACTCTTT